CCACCCCCATAATGTCAATTGTTTATGTGTCACATATTAGCCACTTTTTTTTTTAGATTTTTAATGTTTATTTTTTAAATGTTAATTAAAGTGACACTGGGAGTTAAAAAACAGGAATATCATTAGGAAATCCTTGGGGGGGGGGCTGTGCCGGGGCTAAGCAAGTTTCTGATGGGGCTATAGCCCTGTCAAGTCCCGCCCTATCGCCACCACTACCCTAAACTAAAGTGTTACTGAGTGTTGCTTTAGCAATTAGCTGAAATAAAGTGAAGTAAGTAAAGAAATTAAGTTGTTTTATATTTTATTTTATTTCAGTTAACATTTCATTTGAAGTAACAAATGTTTTTTTTATGGTTTTAGTTGTTCTTTAACTAGTTGATGGAACACAGTTCTATCAGTAGGATGCAGATGATAGTTATTGCATCAATTAGCTGATTCATATTCATATGGTGATGCTCTTATAGTGACAACGCAAGCTCATAAATCACCCAACAAACAGCCTGAAAATAATCCGTGTGGACTTTCCAGGACACCGTGATTTGCCTACAGTGAAATCAGTGCTGTGTGTGTGAGTGTAATGGTGTCGTGCTGCAGTTGATTTGCTTTGCTGCTTCTGTCCTCAAATGACTTTGCTGTGTCTCTCACTCTCTCTCTCTCTCTCTCTCTCTCTCTCTCTCTGTGTAATACATCCATTGACCACTGGGTGTCACATCAGTGTAATCAGTGTAAAACAGATTTTCACAGTTTTAAAAATCAAGCCTTTGGCATAAAAGAGCAGGCAGTGGGGGCTGTGGGGGCTTTGGGGGCTCAAGCCCCTGCCCTTTTTCAAAATTATTCAAAAGTGCCCCTCTCAGACAAATAGCAATGATATTGTGGTCAATAAAACAAAATGCGTTTGAATTATAATTAACATGACAATGTGTACAAAACAGTAACTAATCGTTTACAAGTCGGAACATTCCTTATTTTTTACATCTCTGTCGATCTGAGGCGTTGCTATTGGTTGCTTGTGTTTTGCTGGACTGACTGATATTCCACAGTCTGTTCGGAAACCTAGACTCTCAAGCCATATATGGTTCTTTCAGTGAGTGGGTCGGCAGAAGGAAAAATATAAACCAAACAATATTTTAAACTTTTTTTCATCAATAATCAAAGCTAGTGTGTCCATTTAATTAAAAATCCGTATAGCCTATTATATATTTTAGAATATTACATAATTCATCAATGCCCGTTTGTCATGTATAATAGGCTGCACCAACCAATCATCATCTGGCACAAGTTCAAATTTCATTGGACAATAATGTGAAGTAGAGCGGTTTTCCATTCTTATTCATAAATCGGTTGAAAATGATATGGGACAGATGAGCTTATTTGCGGAGTGATCTGGATCTGTGTGCGGTTTGTCTCATTTTATAAATAAAATTACATCGCTGAGAAAATTACACCCACTGGCAGACGAGCCACGAGCACTTTTAAATACATTTAATGTATTTATGTAAAACATATTCTACATTAAAAAATTAATTTAGAATGAACAATAACTGCTGTACAAAGAGTAAAAAAAAAATTCAATAAAAAAAACATACCTAATGCAGAAAAGCCGCCTCTTTTTCCGATGCGTGCCGTCAGCGCAGCTGAAGAGTTCTGTGTTCAAATGCACGCAATAGGCTTAAATGTGCCGCAAAGCATCGGCAAAAGTAATTACCATTTCAAGCCTGCATTTATTTGATCAAAAATACAGAAAAAACTGTAATATTGTGAAATATTATTACAATTTAAAATAATGTTTTTTAAATATACTTTAAAATATATATTTTTTTCTGATGCAAAGCTGAATTTTCAGCATCATTAGCCTACTCCAGTCTTCAGTGCATGATCCTTCAGAACTCGTATGAACTAATATGCTGATTTATTATCAATGTTTGAAACAGTTGTGCTGCTTATTTTTTTATTTTTTATTTTTTTGTAACCTTTGATACTTTTTGGGGGTTCGTTGATGAATAAAAAGTTAAAAAGAACAGTATTTGTTCAAAATAGAGATGTTTTCTAACAATGTAAATATTTACTATCAATGTTTCTATTAATTTAACAAATCCTTGCTGAATAAAAACGAATTTCTATCAAAAAATAAATAAATACTGACCTCAAGCTTTTGAACGTTAGTGCATATTGTTACAAAAGTTATATTTTAAATAAATGCTTTTTTATTTTATTATTATTTTTTTTTTAAACTTTTTATTCATCAAAGAATCCTGAAAAAAAGTATCACATGTTTCCAACATTGATAATAAATCAACACTGCATAAAATGTATTTTAAAATATATTAAAATTTTGATCAAATAAATGCAGGCTTCATGACCATAAGTGACTTGCAAAAATATAAAATAGTAATGTATCCAAACGTTTGACCTATAATTGTTTTGTTTTGTTTAATTGTCCCTATTTTAGGCTACATTTGAGCCCCTGCCCCTGAGGAACTCTCTGCACGTCCCTGTAAAAGAGCCTGTAAAATATACATTAATGCACCAATGTATGTGAGAACCAAAGCTACTTTTACCTGTATTACTTACTTTTTCTTGAGTTACTAACACCTAACACCTTTAGAGATCTGACCGCCAGCATTCACATTAATCTCAATGGCAGCTGCTGAAGTTCATGAGATAAAGTCTGCCATCTTGGCTCATGGGCACTCATGGGCACACAGTTTTGCTGCCAGCTCATTTTGAGCTTCCAGCTGTAAACGAATTCTGAGATATAAAGTCAAATTTGAAGATATAAAGTCAGAATTTAGACAAAAACACAATTCTGAGAAGAAAAGTAAGTATTGTAAGATATGACGTCGGAATTGTGAGATAAACTTGCAATTCTTAGAATAAAAGTGCCCCAGATAGCATGCAATCACTGAAACAATGTTATGTCAATGTTGATGCGTCAACACTAATTGCATTGCATTAACATTATGTTGGTTCAATATCACTTTTGCACCCGCAGTTAATGTTGACACAATGGTGAGATTTCAACAAAAAATAAATTGACGTCATTGAATTAATGTTATGAAGTGATGTTGGTTAAATGTCACTTTTATGCCCATAATTAATGATAAAACAATGGTGAGATAAAAAAAAAATAAAAAAAAATAAATTCCATTGAATCAATGTTACACTATGATTGATTCTACATCACTGCTGTTGAATCAACCATTTCAAAGTTTGGGGAAAACCTTTTCAAACATAAATGACACCTTTCCAGTAGTTCAAATCAATTTATTTTATTTGACAGTTTAACACAATCAATGTCAAAACGACTAAAGCATTACAACATTTAAAAATAACATTACTTTTAGAAGCCTGATGTCATTATAACAAGTGGTCCAATGGTTCAAGTTTTCAGAATATGTCTTACGTCAGTCTACTACCTCATTTCCTTTACGTTCTCTGAAATCTGAAAAAGACAGTATGGTGTTACTTTAGAGCAAGTCAATTCAGTTGTCGTACATAGTCACATTCAAGAATGTCAATACGTTAAACACAAAGGGGCAGTTTCCCGGACAGGGTTTAAATTAAACCAGAAGTAGGCTTAATCTAGAATGAAATATGGATTTAGAAAAAATTGATTTCTGACACACAGATTAAGTACAGATCACTAAATCCTGGACTATGGAGTCCTGAACAAAAATAAACTTGAGTAATTAAAAACCAATTGTGCTAATCTGAATCAGCACAACAGAAATTGCCTATAAAACATAGAATGAACCAAAAAAAAAAAAGCTTAAAATTGTATGGAATTGAGAAGCAAATCCAAGGAAAACAATAGCAGCTGAAAAAAGACTGCAATTAATTAAAAAAAAAATTACTGAACAAGAGAAGACTTTTTTTAAAGCAAGCAAAGTAAATCTAACTTTTCAACAAAATCAAATTTTTCTCTAATGCACATTGGCCACAATTATTTGTTGTCCTAGAAATTATTGTGAGTAAAATCTCTGAAGATCTACATTCCCATTCATATTTGTTAGCACACCAGGGTGACTAGGAACATGGAATTATCCAGCTATGACTTCCTGTTTCACAGGAATATAAATATGAGGGATCACAAAAGCCAAATTCCCTTTATCATCCATCACAATGAGAGAAAAAAAAAAAAACTGCTGCAACAGATTGTTAAGCTTCTCAAAATATGAAGTCAAGAACATAGCACAAAATAGAAAGTCAAAACATGTAAGAAAAGAGCTAAAGCATTGAACATTTCCATTTCCACCATTAGGACAATAATTAAGGAGTTCCATCCAACAGAAATGTTACAAATCTGCCTACAGTATATTGTCTGTGTCTGTACTGTCTTAATGCAACGTGAGGAAGATAGTTTGAGTGGCCAAACACTCTCCAAGGATCACAGCTGGATAATTGCAGAAAATAGTTGAGTCTTGGGGTCAGAAAACCTTATAATGGGTCGTGGCTGAATCTTTCAACAGAACAATGATCCAAAAGGACCATCAAAATCAACACAAAAATGGGTCATTGAACACAAAACGAAGTTTCTGCCATGGCTATCCCAGTTCCCTGACCTCAACCCTATAGAAAACTGAAGAGGAGAGAGTATCAACATGGAGCTGGGAATCTGAAGGGTCTGGAGTGATTATGTATGAAGAAATGGTCTCTGATCTTAGGTGTCAGGTGTTCTCCAAACTCATCAGGCATTATAGGAGAGAGATATTATTTTTTTTAATAAAGGATCAAATGTTTAACATTGCAGATTTATTTTCACAGGCTTCTTTGTTTATATATACCTAGGGTGCCAATAAATTTTATATATAAAGACTGGAAACACAACCTTAATCTGAAGTTAAACCTGACTCCTGGTAGGTTTAATTTAAGCCTCAATTTAGTCCTGAAGTAGCTCTAGTCTATCTCCAGGAAATCGCCCTATTAAATTCTAAGACTACTTAAAATCATAACAGAGAAAGCAGATTTCTGTTAATCTGTTTTAAAGGGCAATTATAGTCTAGGACTAGGCTTAATCTTTGTCTGGGAAACCATCCCAAAAAGTTAAATTTTTGTGTATTACTCAACACAAAAAAATCTAACTATATTTATAATACTGTTAAATCCTGTATATTTAATCTATTTATCTTAAATATCTTATCTTTTATCTGAAAGCTGCTCGCATCTCAGCATGTCTAGACGAGCTGAGCAACACTCCCCATTAAAGATCAGAGCATTTAAGGGGGTCGTCCTCCAGGAGTTAAACAGTACAGATGTGAAAATTTTCATGAACTTGTACACTTAGTGCCAAGAAGTGTCAGAGCAGTATACTTTAAGTTCTGGAAGACATACTAAGTTCTAGAATATTATACATTTTCTAAATTAAATCTAGGGTGTACTCATTTTTGCAATCCTTCATTTAAACAAAATTGGCTAATTTACTTATCTTACAGAAAATATTGGCATATATTTTGTTGTTTTTATTAAAGGTCCCCTGAAACGCTTAGAAACACGCAGCATTACTCTGTGTTGACGTCATTTTAACTGAAACAGGAAGACAGGGCGGGACATATCAAGCAGCCCCGCCCCTTTTTAAAATAGCCAATAGCGGTAGTTTATATCACAGCTTGGGCTAGAGTCATTGAGCTCCGTAAAGAGCTCAATGACTCTTTACGGAGCTCAATGAAAAAATGAAAACATTTTACAGGGTATGCCAGCCACAATCTCATCCATATTGCTATAAAATATAGCATTCTGTGTAGAATTCAAATAGCTCCGATACATTTTGTGGTCTGCGCCGACTCGCGCATGTGATCCGCTCCGTGCTATCGTGTCTCTGGACCAAAGCAGAGTGTGTGTGCGGTGCGGTGGTTAGCGTGACACAGCGCAAAACCAGACTTCTTTTTTTCCTCAATGGAAAGCATATTTACACTGTTTGAATCGTTCCCTGTCCCCTATATAGTGCACTACGTGCCATTCACTGTACAGAAAATACTAATTCTGTGGACAAGTGACCGATTTCAGCCGCGGCTTCAGCGTCT